AAAGAGCTGCAAAAATCTCTGCAGACCCCACACACCCTGCACATAAACTGTTCAGAGCTTTACCTTCAGGCCGCCGCTACAGAGCACTGTTCACTAAAACCAGCCGCCACAGAGACAATTTCTTCCCCCAGGCTGTTTCTCTGTTGAACATTTAATAGAGTACAAAACCACAGCATACAGATGTTGCAAATGCACCTTTTTATTATATATGTGTATATTGTACATTCTAAATATGTATATTATTATGTAATGCAAAAACAGAACAAAAGAGCAAAGTGTACCGGAGTCAAATTCCTTGTTTGTATGTACGAACTTGGCAATAAAGTTGATTCTGATTCTGATATGAAGTCACTTGAGGTATGTGTGCATGGAAGCTTGGGTTTTACCTTGATAAAATAACAATTAAAAACAACATGACAAAAAACACTGACCACCAGATGTTTTATACATTAGGCAAAAAAGAGTTTCATACAATTTAGATACGTTTTAGGGCGTTAAACATTTCCTTAGCAATTTCTGAATGATCTGAATTAGTTCTCGCCTATCAATGATGACTCTAAATTAATATAATGCAAACATTTTGCCAGTCATACTACCAATATAAAATGACTTTATTTTTAAAATAATTTGTTTCATTTTGTTTGATTTCTTTTACCAAAGTGAATAACTGAAATTCTTCCACTACAGCGTGTCTCTTTAGCATTTGTAATCATGCAGAGATTCCATTTCCCGCCTATAGTGTTATTTCTTTATTAACAACCAAGTATTTTTTTTTTTGCCTCAGTATCAAGCTATCTCCCTCTGAGAAGCTCAATATTTAATATGGCTAAAAGTAACTAACAATCAGAAAGCCTTGACTATCTTGCCACTTGGAGAGCAGATTCCTAATACTCACCCAGACTCCAAGCATGAGGGTTCATGTTGAGCATGATGGGTGTCTGCGAACAACTATAGCGATATCAATTATTAATTCTCCATATCTAATTCAGTACCTTGTCCTCTCATATTCTAGGGAAAGCACTCCTCATGCAGGGAATGAAATTAAACTATGGATCTTTGTTGAAATAATTTGCTCCAGATGCAAATTGTTCTCTAAAATTTAGGACGGAGTATTTGCTAACCAGTTGAAAACATCACATTACTTTATCCGAATACACACAATCCACATCCACCACTGATACACTTCCTGAGGCTTTGTCTTTTGCAAGTTGTGTCTCCCTCTGTTCAAACCCATATTTTATTACTATATTCTGCTTAATATTTAATCTTCCTACCCATATGACTTAAATTTCATTTCAATAAATGTCCAATGGCAATCTTTTGCCTGATTTACATTGTACAAGTCAGTACAGATCTATCCATAGCTTGACATTAGTGATCATAATCACATTGGGAAGTTCAAATTGTGTAATTTAGGTACATCCTAAAATACACTCCATTCCCAAAAGTAGTTCACCCATCAGAATAATTAAAATCAGGTGTTCCAATCACTTCCATGGCCACAGGTGTATAAAAATGAAGCACCTAGGCATGCAGACGGTTTCTACAATGGGTTGCTCCAAGGAGCTCAGTAAATTAAAGTGTGGCACTGTGATAGGATGCCTTCTGTGCAACAAGTCCACTCGTGAAATTTCCCCGCTCCTAAATATTTCACCATCAGTTGTCAGTTGTATTCTAAGAAAATCTAAAAGCTATTAAAACTATCTGCCAAGGTATTTTTCACATTTTGTATAATGGGCATTTTGTTTAAACTTAATTACAATTCAATCTCTTAATAAAGTAAGATTCAGGAATTACATGTTACTTCCTAAATAGGACATCTTTTTTTTTATCTCAGTTTATTTATTTTTTTTATGTTTCTGCATTAGGGCTGCACGGTGGCACAGTTGGAAGCACTGTTGCCTTGCAGCAAAAAGGTCCTGGGTTTGACTTCGGGCCGAAGGTCTTTCTGCATGGAGTTTGCATATTCTCCCCATGCATGCGTGGGTTCCCTCTGGGTATTCCAGCTTCCTCCCACAATCCAAAAACATGACTGTTAGGTTCATTGGTCTCTCTACATTGCCCTTAGGTGTGAATGAGTGTGTGCATGGTTATTTGTCCTGTGTCTTTGTTGCCCCGCGATAGACTGGCGACCTGTCCAGGGTGTACCCAGCCTCCTGCCCATAGACGGCTGGAGATAGGCACCAGCTTCCCCGCGACCCACTATGGAAGAAGCAGTATAGAAAATGACTGACTGCATTGCTCCAGGCTCACCTTTGGGAGCTGCTTATACTTGGTTTTCTTTAAAGAAAAAGGAAAACGTCCTTTTTAAATATAAAAGCAAGCTGCAAAGGCCATTAACTTTTAATAGGAATAAAGACTGCTGATGTCTACTAAGCAGTGAGAATACAAGATGTAAAAATGCTATATTGATTTTGCAATAACATACACAGGCAAAAGTAATTGCTAAATGTGCATTACACTCAATTCTTATGATTTTAAAGAGAGCTTGTTATTCACTTAATATCAAGTAAGTAAAGAAATCTTTAATAAGAGCGTTGCTGTAGACTTTAGTGTTCAAGTAAAATCGGCCATAGCAAGCCTGAGTCATTGACACTTGAGGTAGAATCATGCAAGACAAACCAATAACTCCACATTTAACCATGAAATAGTAGCTTCAAAGGAAGCAGCAGCTTGTTGTAAGTTGGGAGGTCTATACTCTGCCTTGACGCTCTTCTGCTCTACCGTAAGACATTTTTTTCAGGTAAAGAAATCCTTTTTACCCTTTTTTTGTTTTTTTGGATAAAACAACCAGTTTTTAACGTTGACATATGCCTTAATCCTGATGAATCATTATCAACATACACAAGCTTAGATGTAAAGATATTTACATGTTTGTCACAGCTGGTAATATGTTGCAAATCTAAAGTTCTTATTTGTAATACATTTTGTGTAACTTTTGTGAGATTTTACATTGCCTCAATCCTCTGTGCTCCTTCTCACCCAGTCTGATTGACAATTGTGTGTTCAGTCCAAGCCCCTGTAGGTATCATTTGCAGGGTTGTGCCTACACAGATCCAGTGGTTGCCAGAAACAACAAATAAGACAGAAATAAAAAATAAAAACACAGCCTGAACTCTTTATATTTGAGGCAGGACTCCAGCTGTGAAGTCAGGCCTTGATGCTTTAGTTCAGAGGAAGTAGTGCAACGTTGTACTACCCTGAGTGAAAGATAACCAGAGCATATCAGCACTGGTGTTAAATGACAGTAAACCATGTTAGTCCATTTCTTCATTTGAATCAAAGGATAAGCTTAGAAAATGCATTGTGAACAGGTAAACACATTCATAACAACCGAGAGCCAGTTAAAAAGCATAAAGAGAGTCAATTTCAAAATACCTGACCAAACACTAACCTGAAATACACAAAAACTGTCTCTCCATCTGTTACCCTTCATCCGTTACTACTGTTCCATTAAGCAAATCTGAAATTCTGTCTCATAGAAGATGGTGATGAAACATTATCATCTTCTGAATTGTTATGTAATAGCAATAGGAACTTGGATGTATTTATGAAATCAGTCACTCTATATTTAGAAAATGTATTTATGTGTAGAAAATATTCTAGGTATTTGCTAATCTTCCATCAAGATAAAAATTTTTACCCAAGTATTTCCATCCAAACACTGAATGGACTTTTAGTTTGGTCAATCTTTATTTTTATTAAACCAAAATAGATGCAGACGTACGGTGGCGCAGTTGGTAGCCTTGCACCAAGAAGGTCCTGGGTTCGATTCCCGGCCAGGGGTCTTTCTGCATGGAGTTTGCATGTTCACCCCGTAGATGTGTGGGTTCTCTCTGGGTACTCCGGCATCCTTCCACAGTCCAAAGACATGCCTGTTAGATTGATTGGTCTCTGTAAATTGCCCTTAGGTGTATGAATGAGTGTGTACATGGTTGTTTGTGTGTTGCCCTGCGATGGACTGGCGACCTGTCCAGGGTGTACCCTGCCTCTCGCCCATAGACTACTGGAGATAAGCACCAGCTTGCCCGCTTTCCCACTATGGAATAAGTGGTATAAAATGACTGACTGACTGATATGTAGACATTTTGATTTTTTCTATCCCATACAAACTATCCATATAGCACAAACAAAGACAACTGAAGGCTTGATAGGGTTAGGGCCTATTTTTACAGCACAACAATTTAAAAACTCATCTGACCAAAACAATGAGCTGCTGCTGGAAGTGCTACTGAAAGTCAAAATCTGGTATATTTCCTGGAACATCCAGAAACATCTTTAGCTGTCAAGGCAAACACAAAAGAGATGTACTATGGACAGAAAAAAAAAATGAAATGCTAAACGATGCCACATGCTAGCTACACTAACTCTACAAGCTAACGCTATGATGTTTGAGAGCAACTTTAAAAGGTCAGTAATCCTCCTTTATCTGCAACACTGAAGGAGTTAACCTCCCATACAACATAAGCTAACGCTATATGTTTAAACATTAGCTTCAAAGACACGGACAGCCCAATGGAGATGATCTGTCAGTCTGAGCTCCCACATCAAGATGTGCTTCCCAAGTTTCCAACACGCAATGCTCTGTTTTACTGAGGTACAAATAACCAAGGTAAATGTTAATCAACTGATGGCTTGGCAGCTACCAAATATTGAAGCAAATAAACAAACAGGTGCGCCCCTCTCCATTACTTGTCTCATGGAGTTTTGACGAAAATTCAATCTAGAAGACTCACGCCCTCCTCTGCTCTGTCCAATGACTCCACCATGCGTCGACGCTACAACCAATCAGCGTCGAGTCCACATTTGCTCTTCAGCCAATCATCGTCCAAGGCTCCGCTTTAAAGACCTTCACTCACGGACTTCCTCGCTCTTCAAGCTGAGCTTAGACCCTCCTCCTCCCCATCTCCACCATCTGGCTTCCTAGCTCCTCCCAATTCCCCTATCTCCTCAGGCCTCCACTCCACCACCAGTCAGATCCCAAGGGGGAAAGACATCTATAATTCAAATCCGAAGATGTTCATTCAAGCTCATGTCATTCTCAGCGTTCGTGTTTTCCTCCGGGGTCCGAGTGCCAAAGAAACAAAATAAACTCTTCTAATCGCCACCTATATGTTTTCTCATTGTGAGTCTTTACAGGATTGAATTTAGTTTTAAAGGCATTGGATGCCAACGTGACTGACAGTAACACAGGTTATGGGTGAACCAGACTGAAGCAAACAATTAGAGCAGAAAAAAGTAGTAACCCATAGCAACCTACCCTGCTGCTGTAGTTGATCACTAAAGAAAACATTTTGCAAAATGTACAGAGTTGCTGCTGAATACATTCTTGCTTACGCTGTAAAAAATATATAATGTATTTGCCATATCCATGTTTGTTTCGAAACATAATTTATGTTTTTACAGAGTGACCCTTTATTTTTCACTCAGTAGTCAAATTTACAGGCAAACGGAAACACAAAGTGGCACACTCAAGATAAGCAATTATAATAAAATAATTGCACAACTGAATCAAATGTTCATACTATCATAAAAGATATGTACATTTATACTGTTATCTTGTCTACTGTTTTGCCAAACAGGGAAGTAATACTTAGAAATTACATATGTTTTTGTAAAGGAGGGTGTGAATTGTTCAATACTTTTTGGTTTTGCCCTAATTAAGGAAGTTAAAATATTGCAATTTTGTAATTAGTCATATTTTTGCTCTTAACTAGAAAGAATCCTGTGCCTTAAAATATTTTGCAGATGTATCAAAAATGGTATCGAAAATGGTATAGACTATTTTTAGAGAAATTTTAGTATGGTGACAATAATAGTATGAAAATTGTTCCCTAAACATTGTGGGTAAATTTACCAGACATTGCAAGTTGTAAAAACATATAAATAACTCAGAAATTAACAAAAGAAAAAAACAAAGACAGCAAATGAAGACAGTGTTGCAGGTAAGAGAGTAAAAGTTGCCCAGCAGCCATATTACTGACCGTTTCAGGACAGATTAAATTACGTCTCAGAACATGAAACAACATTGTGTCTTGTTATTATAAAAGGAAAACATGCCCTGTCATTTTATTTCTATACTAATGAAGTTTTTCTCTCAGTCATTCAGCAAACCCACAGCCATTTCCTCACAGACTGCTCTCTGGAACTACCAGCAGAAGAATACAACTTCAGGAAAAGAGTCAGCTTGGTGGCAATCTGCTAACTTGAGTAAACATTTTAAATAAATAACAAAATAATAATAAGTTTTCACCAACTGAGATCTCCTTGGAAATAAAAATACATTCTAAAATTGCAGTGTATCGAGCCTGGCTGAGTCCATCATTATCCAACAATGCTGTGTAAAAGAGCTGGAAATTCTCTCAAAAAGCTGCTTTTCCCTTACTAATTCAGTTCTGTACAGGCTCTATGTTTATCCATGTTGTGATTATGAATATGAATAAATTATTTAATATTTAATATCAATGCTTTAATATTTTATTAAATAATTTTTTGGTCTGTTGAGGGTTGTCCTGTGAATACCAGCCCAATAAGGTGCTGGTATTAGGACAAAATTGAAAGGAATCAGTCAAGCTCTGGCATTATTGAACAGCAAACTCTGCATACACACGGAATGAATTCACACAGTTTCTTAAAATACAAGAATTAATTAACAAAAAAAGTCAAAACAAAGTCAACTCAAAGTCAAACATATTTCAATCAACAAACTTTTTACTATGCTAAACAACCCAACTAAACTACCAAGCAGAATGAAAGAATAAGGAAGACTAATGGGCTATGTGCAATATAAACAGGTTGATCAAAGATGGTTGAAAACCATGACCAATGAGTGATGCAATATTATCATGCAATATTTATGTTTGAGAACCAAGGATTATCTTGAAGAATCTGGAAATGAAGTTATGTTAGTCTTGGAACTGACTTAAGCAATAATTGGTATACCTTCAAACAACCATTCACAATGCAAAATCAGATAAAACATTATTTTAATAAAATAATATTGTAAAGAATGATTTGCTGAATAAAACCAACTTTCTGGATGACCAATTCTCAACGGTATTTAATTAGCTGCCTTTATTTATTAAATTAAGGCAAAAATAAAGTAAATAAAGGAGGGGGGGGCCTTGCTCTGTCGGCCGGCTGAACTCCTGTCGCCACGGTGATGCGATACCGTTGTCCTTCCTTCAGACCGGGAAAAACTGCTCCACTCGGCGTTGTAGAGACAGGGTCTCTGCTGGGAACTCTCTAGAACACAGTTTGCTTCTGTAGACCTCAGAGAGAAATGTCAAGCAACGCTTGTACCTTAATTACCCCCATTCATGAATGAAAAGGATACACAAACAGCAATTCATTCCTACTTAACTTAGTGCATATGATCGCGTGATCATACAACACTCTTGGATCCAGTTTAAAGAGTTATGTCTATTTGCCAGCAAAGAGACAATGGCGCGCTGTGTCCCTCCGTCCAGTTCCGCTGGGGACCTGCGTGGAAGAGGTCTGTTTGTTGGTACGTGGAGTTTTTATTCAAACAGTGATGTCACGGGAAGTCCGCTGTTATTCCCTTCTTTTTTCTGGCCGTGCTGGAAGTAGATTAATGCGATTTATTTTGAAAGTTCCAGAAAAGTTCTAACTGGCCTTTAATGTTGTAACCCATGGCAAGTTAATATTGAGATGGATACAAATTCTGAGATGATACAGCGCTTTGCCAAGCAACAGAGTGGCATGAATTCTGATAGGATGAAAACTTGCTGTTTCTAAACACTTACCAAGGGGTTAGTTTATTCATTTTACAAAATAATTAGTTATTCAATATAACTGATATAAACATGACATTACATTTTTAATTATTATCAATTCAATTCATAAACTAAGAGAGTGGGCCTAATAAATCCAGCTGACTTGATTGTTTTAGAGATAAATCTATCTGAATTCACTTGTTCACTCAGGTGTCATCTCATACAATATTCTCTACTGTTGCTATTCCTGCCTGATTTAGCCTGTGAGGGTTAAAGGCTTTTGGGAAATGGCTTTTAGATTTTGAGGAAGAAAAGCATTGCTTACTCCCAAGAACCATTTTAATCTTTGAATTCATTTCAGACAAAGTAAATAAAAACTGTTTACATTTATTTTGTAGCAACAAAACAAAGAATGCCAAAGCTGATTTTTCATCTGGATAGATCAGCTGTGAAACAAAATAAAATATTTAATCTGTGATGTATAATTAATCCAACTTTCTGCTAAATATACTCTTGCCTTGCGAAATCCCATAACAACTTAGGAGTTTTGTAAAGACAATCATTGCCCTAGATTTGAATTTCCTGTGTTCTGAACATTCAGCATCCTTCCATTTAAGAAAAATGTGATGACATACACTTTGTAAGTCATCTTTTCCCTCAGCTGTCAGGAAGTTGATGCCTCACAGCTAAAGCTATAATCTGGTTACAATTTTGCTTTAGTAAATAGTAGATGCTTGGAAAGAAAAATGAGAGAAGAAATGTTGAGCTGCTTTACTGGTTTCTGCCAAAAATGCTAGTCCTCCTAGACTTGTTTTGTCACAAAGCATGGTTCTCAAGAATGAATTCTTTCCCATTTTTCTTACTTGTATTTCTCAATTGCTTCTTATTTCTTGTGTCAGCAATGTGCTACTTGAAGCCTATCCTGAGGCCCTCAGCACAGGCTGGGCTGTTTCTGTGTAATGAGACTTGTTTTTCATACTATGTTGCACAGTAAACAAAATCAAACATTTATGAGAGTTTTATGCAAGGCTTATCATGGGTACAATTTGCTTCTTGTTAAAAG